GTTAATTACTAAGTACAGATTTGTGTTCGGCTGTCAGCTTCCTTTTTGTAAATAGTAGTAATACTATCCGACTACCAGTATAAGGGGTGGAACGGGGTCCGGACTTCCAGCCCAATGACTGAAAGTTGAGTAATCCAGTCACAACCACTTTCGTGAGGTGTATGGGTGGTTGTCATATTACTGGAATGGATACTGCATAAGTAAAGTTCTAGTCGGCCACAGACCCCAAAGAAAAGTTACTCAAGCAGTTACTCTTGTAACATTGACTTAGAAATTATCAAGTCTTATCACTAGAATCGAAAGCCTGTGAAAATGTTGGAGATTTATTTATGCGGCTGCACTAACCCATTATTCTGCTTTGAGGGGGATAAATTACTGGAAATTCGTGGGAAATACAGTTCACATTGGTTAAACGTTGCCTTGTGGGAGCCAGATGGATGTAGTGTATACGAGGAGTAAAGATTCCGATAGTATATAAGTCAAAATTAGTGCAAGCCACAACGATCTTCTAAATAGTTAGACTAGATATCAGATCCTCGGTTCAAATAGTCAAACTATCTTTTTGGGCAAATAGTGTAATAACGTTTCACAACCCTATTAGAATCACCACAGTAAACATTCGTGACGGGGAAGGAGTGACATTGAACATACTTCCCCGAAGGAGTAAAAGTTTGGAGCAACAACTAGCCCAACACTTTCCTGATTCGACAAAAAGCAACCTTAATTGGGACTAATGAGACGTACACTGATTATTGGAATACATTTGTAACGAGTTAGTTTTAATCAGTCAATTTATTTGAAGTTAGGTTTTAATGCTGACAGACAGATGAAGATACTTTGCAACGTCCATTGAGGTTATAACCTCAGTTGATTGAAATCTAGCCACTTAGTTGCACCAACCTAGACAAACAAGGGATGGGAATTAGATGCGAAACTAAGGGGAATTTCTGAAAAGTCCTTATACGTTGGTGTGAATATAAGCGACAACTTGATGTACTGTCGCTTTCACCCCGGCCCAGGTAAATAGTGGGATCCTTCCCAAAAATTCCCCACTCTAAGGCAATGTATAGAGATCGAAACCTTAACCCCCAAAGGTCTGCTTTTCACCAAAGTCAACGTTACTGACAATAGATGATGAACGACGTAAACATTAATAGCTTCTTATGGAAGCTCTAGAAAAGTGATTGAGTGACGTTCTTGCCAAACACAGACGAGCTGAAAACAAATGAGATCACTAAAAGTTACTTTGGCAAAACGAAGGCCAGAAGCAACCTTGATTTAATACTCAGCGCTGTTTCCAATATCCAATAAGTGTCCAAATCTTGCTGGAGCTGACGAATTTCTTCGCTTTAATTTTCCACTTTATATGAATGGTTCAAGATATTAGGTGGATTCCAGTGTCTTCATTCATTTATCTGAAACAGCTTCTGTAAATTCAAATGGTGATTTGTATTCGATATATTTTGAGGTGAAATCATTTATCTTTCAAGGTCATCTAACGGCTGAAGCCAGGTGTTTTTATCTTGCTGACGATTCCTGGTAAAAAAAACAACGAATCAACATTGTTAAAAAACCAAAGTACTAGAAAATAGTTGACTGGTTTACACGAGGTTGACCTGAATATTCAGATCACTAGGTGTGAGTAGGAATCAAATATAGAAAATCGCAAATTTATTTTATAAAACGAAAAATTTGCAGATGTCTCTGAGCGCATTTATGTTTCTACAGACGTATTTGTGGTGTTTGCATGAAATAATGATTTCTTTGTACTTGTTGACTGCATGATTTCGGAATTTAAATACAATACGTTTGTTCGTGCTCATCTTATACTCCTTTGTTATGTTGCGTTATTTCTGAGATTCTTGATTTGTATTATATCTCAAATACTCCTAATTATCTCAGTATTTTAAGTTGTCATTTAGCTCAATTTTAAAATTAATCTGGTTGAACTGGCCACGGACTGATCAACAAATTCGTACAAGAAGCTAGTTTATTTAAATGGGAAGATAAGGAAAAATTAAATTCATTTAAGTCCTACCAGAGTTTTCGAACTTATGACACATTTCTTTCCTAACAAAGGTCAATGTATCATCTTTTATTAGCTTTTACAAGCTGACTGTTATGTTATCCTTTATTATCTGAGCTTACTTTTCCTGGTATTGAGAGGAGCGTGATGCCTCTGTAGTTCTCACACTTGCTCGGATCGCTTTTCTTTGGTATGTTGATGAGATGTCCTGCTTTTTAATCTGTTGGTACTTGTTCTTCATCTCAAATCTTGCTGAAGTGAATTGGGCATATATTTACATTTGCTACTATGTCTACTTACAGTGGCTCTGCCGGAATAATGTCTAGTCCTGCTGCTTTGCCATCCTTGATTTGTCTAATGGCCAATTGTTGGCGAGTCAACATCGATTCGGAGGTTCGTGTGTTCTGCTGCGATATTGAGTGGGTTCGGTGGTTGCCCGTCAAATGAACAGTTTTTTTAAATGCTTTACCCACCTGTTGGTGAGTAATTTGCTTTGTTCGCTTTTCACGGGTCGTTTTGGTTAACGATGATTTCCAGCCTCACACAATTGCCTCATATTTCTTTCTCTTGAAGCCCTTTCCGTTGTCATTCCTATATCTTACACATATACACGTTTATTGGTTTTAATGCTCCTCAATTATTATCTGGAACCTCATGAAAAAAAGAAAATATCATTCTACTGGTTAAATGGTCAAACAATATTATTGAACCAAATAGACAGTTTTCTAAGTGACAAATTCAAGAACGGATAATTGCAACATGAGCCCACTCATGGATTTTCATCTCCCACTTGAACCAGCTGTATCTGAGTTATGTCTCGTAAGTTATTTACTATTATACTCATCATATATTACAAACTAATTCCAATCTGTTGCAGATCACCAACGTAGACGATCTATGTCGGAAATGATTGCAGGCCTACTGTGGTGTTTGAATGGACTAATGATATCTTTTGTACTGGTTGAATGCTCGATTTCGAATTCTAAATACAGTACATTCGTTGTGCCTGTGTCTTCTTAATTCAATTGCGTTAATCCTGGAATTCCTAATTCATACGACAATTAGAATGCCATATTGGCGTCGTGATGGAGCCTGCAATGGAAAGGTTAGATATTCATTCAACTTCTGAAGCTTTTGAGGATTATTTTGAAAGGTTCGAAATTTGGGATGTGACCAAGGAACATTATGAGGACGTTAATATTGTAGCACATTTCCTCATATTCATCGGAAAAGAAGCATATAGTTTATTAAAAACCCTGGCTTTACCGGAAAAGCCCATTTCGCTTTCTTATACAGCTCTCAAGGATCTACTGCTAGACTATGCTCAGTATACAAATTTCGAATGTCGTAAAGGAAGAAGATTTCGTAAAATGATTCATGAGGATATAAAAAAGTCCACTACTTTACTACGTCATCCCAACCCATTGCATACTCAAGGTTATGCAGACAATTCATTGAATTTGGATGCAGTTCACGAGGATGGGGACAAGTTCGGTCACTGTTTGTCCTGTTGCAAGTTCCACTCTTCTAATTCATGTAAATTTCGTAATTCTAAGTGCTTCAAATGTCGTGATATTGGACAAGTTCAATCAGTTTGTAATGCTAATGTTCATCTTACTGCAACTAATATTAAGTCTTGTAATTCTGATTCTACTAAGTCGAGTATTCATGATGATCATTTATCTTTATCAACGATTTCAAAAGACAGTGCAGGGTCATATGGCAGTTCAGAGTTAAATGAAATCCAGAATTCCTGTGAGACAACAGTTCCTAATCAACCGATTTATCAGAATTCTCATGCTATTGTACCAGGTATGACTTTTCCTAATGATTCACATATTTCTAATGAAATTACTTACAATTCTGAGGAAAGTATGTTAAATGAACCTAATCATGATCGAAAACCTGATGTGGTTTGGATAGATGCTGATTTTTCTAACGATCCTACGCTCTGCAATGACAGTCCTAATGAAATTCATGAGAATATTTCGGAAGAATCAAATCTTGATGTTAATCCTGGAATTCCTAGTTCATACGAGAATTCGAATACCATACCTACTCGAGTTAGACGTGAATGGTGTGACAAACTAGCTAACATCGAAGTCACACCTCATGGTCAGCACCTTACGTGGACTACCCCATTGACGTACCAAGGTACCATAGATGCTTTGAAGACTGTACAACACAGGGGACGTCGTTACAGAAACATATTAGTTAAAGTAGATACAAGCGAAAGTAAGACCACTGCCGCATGGGCCAGTCCATGGTACACGATTAACTTATGCGCTTGGGTTGTACATGACCTTGGCAGGGAGCGATGATCTGTTCGACATTCAGTGATCCAACTGCCGGATGATTTGGCTAGGGCTCAGTGACATTCCACTGGCCCTACACTGTCTCATCATCATCTCACTTCCCTTTTAAGCTCTACACTAAGGTCTTCTTGCACCGTTTAGATAACGAGTTAATCAATAGCTTTTTTTCATGTACTTCTCGAAACAATCGTCTTCTTCAGCACACAAAATATCAAGTTATGATTTCCACACTGCAGCGAGCCAACCTGCTGACTGACAGTGTGGTAACTGCTGTCGTTCAGAAACCATACTGTCCTGAGAAGAAAACTCTTTCACTCAAACTAAAAGACCCAAGCTGCCAGCTTTGGGGAAATCCCCAAGTGAAATAGCCTTTCCCAATGTTTGGGGAAAATTTAGGGTTTTCCGTCTCATTTCCCCAATATTTCCCCAAAACGGACCAAATTTTCCCCAAAGTTGGCAGCTTTGGGATATACAAGTCCACAAATAATAACGAGACTGACTAAAATTAATGAAGTCGAGTAGCTAGACTACCACCTATTGGATATTACTAAATATCTGAAGCCACATAAAATTTAAAAGGAGCAAGCGCATAGAAGCCAATCGGTTTATGCAAGCTCGTTACAAAGATTTTTGTTTTACTCTGCATCTCTGGAGAGCAGCTTTTTAAACGCGTTGCTAGTGTAAATTACTTCCAACATGTTTCTCTATTAGTTTATGTAATATAGTTTGTAACGTTCCATTAGAGTGGGAGTTTCATAAAATGATAAAAACAACATCAATAATGCGATGGCAATGACTGAACTTCAACCCAGGTTGTACAATCTTTCAGCATGAATAATTATTTATTTATTACAAAATAATACATTTAGCAGCGATATCCGCCCGAAATCAGCATTAGTGCAGATTATAGAGATTCAGGAGAAAACAGTCAATCCAACACCTGCGCTCAGACGGCTGTCTGAAACCCTAACTGATGAATTCCTGTCTGAGCAGAAACTTGTATATATATATTTTTTAATGTTAACATTCATGTAGAGGGAGCTGACCGGATTTGAGGATTTGAGCATGGTTTCCACTTTAGATCTTGAGGTTGATACTGATCGAATGTCGGTAGCAAACTTCGGAACATATTTACCGAACTTGAGACATTTAAGATTATCTAATAGTAATATTCCGTCTGTTCGGTTAGCTTTGTGTTCCTATTTAACCATATGTAGAGATCTTGGCACATTTCTCAACAATGTGGAGGTGATTTGGATGCCTCGCTGTTGTCTTGTTAGCCTTGATGGGTTATCAAGTTTTACAAAACTAGTAGAATTATACATAGCTTTCAACGGAGTATCGGATCTTAGTCCGTGTGCAATGTTGGACAATATCGAAGTAATAGATCTTGAGGGGTAATTTGTCACATCTATTTTAACATAATAAAGCAACCTGATTGAAGATAGAAGCAGTTTGTCATACCTTCGTCTCTGTCACAATCTTACTTCCCTTACTCTTGAAGGAAATCCTTTTGTTACAAAACATGGTGGGAAAGTGGTAAGTAATGTTTCGGTTTATAACGTCTTAGAGGTACAGAAAAGTTGTGAGAGAGGAACTACCACAGATAACCGTCCTTGATGACATTCCAATACAGAAAAATCCTGTTTCACATTCAGGGGAATATGATATAACCAAATTCGATAGTGAATGGGAGTATATAAACATCCTCTTGAAAGAAATTGGTCTAATATCTGGTAAAACGGTACGTTAACTATTCCTCATACTTTAAAATCACAAAAATCACAACACTGGCTTTGTCTGAAGAAATTTTATCTTTAGTTTAAGAATAGGGAGTAAACAAATATAAATATTACCCCAAAATACCTTATTGCTTCTCTAAGAACCTCTGTTTCCATTATTCTCTTGTACGTCTTATACATATAAGTTGAGATAACAGGGTTCTAATGTTTCTGTACTTATTACAAAACTGTATAGTGTACAGCTAGTAAAGCGTACTCGTGAAAAACACACGAAATAAGATATGTTAGTTACAATAATGATTTTCGAAAATTATCGTTTAATTTATTAAATTATACGTTTACTTGTGCATCATTAGCCATTATTCTAGCTTCTCTAGAGTTAGTACAGTTTGATAATATATAAGAGATATAATTTCACTTATTTATTTTGCTTTTTGTACGGCGAATATATTCTTATCCGAGAGTCCATCTACTGATCTTTTATATTTGAAAATTTAAGTGAATTATCACGTTTCTGCTTAATCATAACTATCATTCTTAAATCAACTTATTTCGTTAATTAGTCGAACAGGTAATGCACTTGTTTAGGATTTGCTGGTGCTTTAGTTAGGAGAAAGATGTATAAGCTTATGGTGATTACATACATGTATTAAAGTTTTGAGATCATTAAAACCAACCACCCTTAAAGCCGTAATATGTTTTTGATTCTAAATTGTCCGTTACGTTTTGTCGGGAAAAGTCTTTAAACGTATATCGCGTCCAAGTTTTTCTCCATGGATTCTAGAAATAGATTCGTTGAAAAATTAAATTTATAAAGTTCACAGAAAAGGTTTTTCAGATGTATGTGGTTATTTTCTTTGGATATTGACACTGTGATTCTAACAGTGGTTGGTTGAATCTTATCCAGTTGTTTGGAAGACACGGAAATTGTATATACCCAAAAGTCTAGTAACATAGATGGTCTCTTATAAAAGTAATTAATCACTATACATTTTTTAGTTACTCACAAATGGAGCCACTTTGTTTTCTTAAATTCAAGGTGTAGAAATAGAAGTTTATCTGCTGTGGTTGCTTGAAATAGTTAAGTTACTATCTCCATTATTGCCTGTTTTGCGAGAACCCAACTACATTCAACAATCTTAAGGAATCGGGTTACTACAAAAAGATCAAATAGAATAGTGACATTGCAGTGAACGGGAACACAGGTGGGGCCAACAAAATATATTTTAGTACAACATTATAGAATATCTTGGTAAAACGTGAGAGCCACACAGTAAATACTTTATTTGTAAAATGTCCATCGGTTGTCTCAGACTTCATTGTTTCTTCGTTTCCACACCAATCACCCTCTGTTCTCGTTCTCTACTCTTCAATATTCTTAATCTTCTGCCTCCAGGCATTCCACTTTCGGTTGGTGGTACATACTACTTATATCTGTCTAAATCAGTAGCACACACTACAACATCACCATACAAAGCTTTCTTTATAATCTCGGAGAAACGAGAACATTAAAAAATGTTGATAATTTGCTGTGTACTATAAAATTTTCTCATTTCAATGAAGATTAGTGAAGCTCGTCTTTATGGAAATCGAAACCGGTTTACCACATTTATTTGAGATTGATTTAAAAGTAAAATATGGTAAGGTTGTAAGAGCCTAAGATTTTAAGGTTATATATCTAAGATGTTAGTAGGTTGTATATTAGGCTGGGATTCACAGATCTAGAATAATTAAGGCCATAGTAATTTATAATCCGCATCAGAAAAAAATATAATTCTGTATATCAAAAACGGAGAAAAACAAATTTTGAATCAAGATGTGTAAGTACCATATAAATACAAGATCACAATATTGAATGTTTGTCAGTAATAACAACAAAGGCTTAGGCAGTTTTATGCCCAATCATGTCTAATATTATTTATAATTAGAAGTTTCCATAACTTTCCCTGATTTATTGATCACAAAGAATATGTCACTGTCACAAAATAAAAGATGGATATTATTAGAAGACTATGTGCTCATTCTCTCCTGTAGCTTTGTTTTCGAATTTTGGCATTGTAAAAAGTTGTTTAGAAGTTGATTTTTAATAAATTATCTTCAGAAAAATATTGTAGACGGAGAAAAATCAGGATATCTTCTGACCACCGGAGAGGCAATAGAAGCGGGTCGTTCAACTTTAGGTCTAAGACCAACATCAGCATTGAAGAAGTATCAAAAAAGCACTATACAGTTTACTGAACCTAAGGATGGTCGCAACACTCTGAAGCTTTCTAGAAGTTCGTCTGTAATGATGGAAAAGGAAGGTGAGTGCGACATTCGTCCATAATTTTTCATGATGCTATATCACAATTTGGTGCTTATCAACATACCAATTTGTTCCAGCAATAATACTTTTTAATTCTCACTTCCTGAGTTGGCAGTTTATGAGTTCATAAACTTATATGTTTGCAATATTTTAAAAAGCGACTGAACTATAAGACGACATTCAATCTAACGACTTTTGATTTAAACAAAGACAGCTTATTAGATTAAAAGCGTTTTCTTAGCTAAAATTAAATATATTTATAATTCCTTTATTTTTCATTTAGTTAACTCAGATGATGAAGAGCTTGTTTCTGAGCTTACAACGGGCAAAGTTATATGTGGAGGTATTAGTACAGCACTGCGTCGTCGAAGATTTTCACTCCAGACAGGTAAGGTTGAAAAAATACAATCAGCTTGTCTGAGATTAGAAAGTGAAAGTGTAACTAGTTCAGCTTTGGAACAGAGTTATATATGCAGCTTGAAAGAAGGGAATCCAACTCAGAATGAACCTAGTGGCCAACAGACCAACAATATCAAAACAGTTTTGGATCATGAAACAATTACGAATGAAGAATTTTATTTACGTAAGGAATGTGATATCGTTTTGAAAGAACTCGCCGAATGGAGAAAAATACACTCAGAGTAAGAGTATTATTTATGACTAAGTGATTAAATATTTATTGAGTAGAGCTGTTAACGCTGGTGTCACTAACTTTATTTCAGTTTGTAGCAGAACAACTATTATCAGACTATTGTAAAAACGGTTAGAAGACACATGGATCAATAATATGATTGTGAACTAGATTCTCCTGTGGTTTAACTAAAAAAACATATATATGTGTACACATATATAAATTTACGATTAAAATTGTTTAACGAATCATGGTAAGTCTACAGGTGCATAAGTACCCCGATTAGTAACAATAAGGATACAAATCTGAGTCTGTCAGTCAGGATTTATACAAGTTTGATTTGACCAAGTTAGTGGTTAACTCGGTTCAGTATCTCAGTTGTTAGTGTTTTGCTTCTGAGGTGTAAGGTAATAGATTGGATTTTCGGTGTGAACATCAGTATAGAAGTGCTGGTATATTCAACTGTTGAGCCTCAGATAGGACGACATACGGATACTAGATTCTACTGCTAGCGACACATCAAATATGTTACGAGTGGATGTTGTTTGGTTAAAGCATTTTAATTCTTTATATATGTAAGACGTGAGGACAAACATATAATTCCTCTCATACTGTTCAAACTATAAAGATAAATTCCAAATAATATTGATATGATTGTAGGGTCATAATGACGAGAACTCAGGATGCTAAAAATAGAATGCTATTTCCTTTTACATTGTTTTATTATCCAGAATCGGTTGGTTAAATAACAGCAAACAAATGACTTACATCATAAAGAACATAGTTATGGGCAGTTTTTCGAGTTTGTAGAGTATCAACGTGCAGATATTGCCTTTATTCAATACACAGGGAATTAAAAGTCAAGGCGTTTGATATCCAATAAATAAACTAGAAAACGCTATATACCCTGTAATAATCACAAGTTAGTTTCAATGCTGTCCAGGGTCTGACCTTCTATGTAACGTATCATAAATGATATCACAAACTGTCTAATCCAAGAGTGTTGGTAAGTGCATGCTAATTGATTGGGGACCTTGTGCAAAATAGCTTAAAATCGTTTACAATCAAATAAATGTATTCATCCCCCCCCATCTCGTAGATCTTGAGCTTTGAGATTACTTTATAATTCCTATTCTGCAAATTTGTTCTTTAGTATCGAACCATACTGTGTACGCTTAATCTTGAGTACTATTACTGATACTGCTAACACTTCTATTCTAGAATTTGTTCTAACAACATAATCTCATCGTATTTAAAGGATGTAGCAGCTTGTACTGGTTTACATGTGTGACAGATTCTACGTTGCTTATGACATATATATATGTAATTCATTTTTTATAGCTCTAACGTCATCGATTACACGTATTTGTCATTTACGTGCATAATGAAACTTATATTCTAGTCTTTAATTTCTAGTGAAATGAAGTCAAATACTGAATAATCTATATAATTGATCTCAATGTTTGTGTCCTCAAATAGAAGCACCAATGATAACTTTGTAAAATCCCAGAAAACTATATAAAAGCAAATTTTAACCACCAATTATCAAAATCGTACTTAGCGTTATTTCTATGAGGTTTCCTATGGGTTTTTTGGAGTCATTTTATGTCAGTTTTTAGTAAAATCACCTACCCTAGTATCCGTATATACTCCGATAAATCTTGTGTAATAACCATTACAAAATATTCATACTATTGACAGGGTCCTTTAATAATATGTTGTCTTGAAGCACTAAGAAATCCAGTCTGTTATCGAAGTTAAATAAAGAAAGCAGCCGATATTCTTTTCCTGGACTAATACACGTTTAAAATACTTTTGAGTAAGATTCTAGGTTGTTGGAGTTTTGTTTATCTGTGGTTTAATTCTATTATCGGTTACTCAAACCAGGTAAAAACTGGTTTATTTCATGAATTTTCTGTGCCCATTCTTTTTTACGTGTACATGATTCTTAACTGAAAACGTTTAAGTTGGCTTGTAGGGTGTAAAAGCGTAATTTTTACTTTGGGAAAAAGATAGATATTTTGTCACTATACCTACCATTAGATCGAACAGTGATGTCTGAATATGTCAATACTTCTATGTACATAGTGTTCGGTGTGAATTCGACTACTTACAGCGAATATGTGTAGGCAAGATATATGTACAAGGACTATCGAATTATTTTTTAAAAAATGGCTGAGAATCCTACAAGGTTTAGTCAATGGATAAGTTAGAATTTTAACAAAAGCCAGTTTTGCCCAGGAGTTCATCTTATTGAGACTAAACGTCTGTGTGTGCTAAGCACTAAGTATACAAAATGATTTCAAAAGTTTCTGATAGTCATAAGCACAACCCTGTCTTATCATCATGTAGAAAGTATGTTGAAGATTTTCAGTTACATAATTTCAAAGAACTTGTTTTGTAGTGTCATCTACAATTTTGATTGAGTAAATATTTGTTTTTGTGAACAACAGATTTCATCTGTTCACTTCGCCGGTTAGTTTAAAATCTTTCTTACTGGTACACATATTTTGTCATTAAATGAATAGGAACAATTAGATAAAAGAAAGTGTTATAAGTTAAGATTAAGAGTATAATGACGTTTACTTCAATGAAACACATTTTACTAATGTATACAATATGTAATTTGCAAGAAACTAATGAGAATAAACGGAGATTTTAATCATTTAGGCACAATATATTAATGAAGCTGATATTTAATTTCCATTTATCAAGCTCATTTGTAGGAAATTCCTTAGATAAGTACTAAAAAATACACGACACATAGGTGGTAGTCTTATTTGAAAGAGGGGTTTCTATTCACAAATGTTTATTTTAAATCTACTAACATATGTATATATTGTATAATATAAGTTCATTAGTTTCCAGTTTTCTCATTATTTCCTAGATCAAAACTACTTAACTCATGTAAAAGTACAAAGAGAAGAAAGAACAAAATTACAAAAGCAGATTTGGAATTTCACACAGTCATTTTATCGCCTGACAATGATGAAAATACACCAGATAATCATATAGATTTACAAGAGGAGTGCACTGAAGATGTTATCACATCAAATAAACCATTAAAAAACTGTAATGAAAAACCATATACAACACATAAAAAGAAGCTTGCAAATTCTAATCAAAATCAAAATCATAAAAATACTGCACCGTTTAAAATGTCAAACGAAATCGACAAAAATCAAATTAAAACTAAACAAGTAAGTTTAACCAATACTACTTTCTAACAATTCAATGTTAGTACTTTCTTCACTGTTCAATAATGTGTTAGATATGGACAGTAAAATTTACATCACCAAATGATATTGCTTAGATGAACAGTGAAAATTCGACTGTATTGAACGGCTGTTTTGTTCTTATTTTAGTCTGTTTAACAGTGCTCATTCATTACCTTTGCCTGCATTCACAGTTAGTATGTCTGATAACGAATTATTTCGTCCTAGTATGGGACTCCTCAGCAGTGCGCATCCACGATCCCGCACCCCGCGAGATTCGAACCCAGGACCTACCAGTCTCGTGCCAAGCGCTTAACCAGCTAGACCACTGAACCGGCATCATCTGCTCACTAGTGACTGACTTCAAGAGATACTCCTGGAGTTCTAGTGAGACGCCGTTACCAGTGGAGCTCAACCAGATGTGTTGTGAGATATCAGCTCACCGAAGGCAATGGTATACGGTGGCGCAACTTCGTGGATTGGTTGAAGTTAGACATTAACACCATTCGATGCCGGCTCAGTGGTCTAGTTGGTTAAGCGCTTGGAACGAATTATTTATTATTATTATTATTATTATTATTATTATTATTATTATTATTATTATTATTATTATTATCCGAATATACTAGAAATTATTTCGTTGTTTAAAATCCAAATACCTAAGAAACCAACTATCTACTAACTATTTGTAAGTAGTGTAAAAAAGGTGTGAAATATTTAATCATTGTTTCCCGTTTATCAATTCCTATGTGTTAGAATAATTATAAACACTAGGATAGAGTGATACCAATCATATAATACTCTGAACTTAAAGTTCATTTGAAACAAAATTGTTTTTGTTTTGTTTAGTCTATCTAGGTACACATTTTAATGGTTCATCAGATAAAATTATAGAAAGTTATCTATGATGAATGATACAATACTTTCAAGGTCATTTATAAGATCGTACCATAATATTCGATAATTCTAGATATTTTACACCTTAATAAATGTTTTACGTTTTTTTCAAAAAGCACATCGTTTATTCATTATGATGTATTGCAAAAAGTTACCAGTTTTGGTTTATACTTTTAACTTATGTTAGTTGGTAGAATTTACATATATATATATATATATATATATATATATATATATATATATATAATACAGATTAATCTGTAAAACTTAGTCGATGCTGAAAACTATCATTGACTTAACTACTAAACCGTTATGGGTATAATTTAAATACACAGTGCCTAATATTAACTCGTTGATGTGTTTTTCTTTAGAAACCAAAATATTAAGACAATAAAGCATAAGTGTTCTAGTACCATAATAAATGTATGAAGTATGTAACAAGTCATTCTATACTAGAACAGCTCCTTAGTTAGGTGTTTGTTCGATTAAAACGCCTCGATACTTTAATCTAAACTTCTAAATAGTAGCGATCTCTCCATGACTCATGGTATCTGTGGTGTTTGAATGAACTAATGATAACTTTGTACTTGTTGAATGCTTGATTTCGAATTCTAAATACAGTATATTAGTTTTTGGTTATCTAGTACTTCTTGATCCGATTACGTTATTTCTGGGATTCTTAGTTCGTACTATAATTCAAATACTTCTAAATATCACAGTATCCTTAAGCAATAAGTGCCAACTGATGAAAATCCTGAATGTGGGTGTTCTTACTAATCTTTAAACTTCACCCCATTGCACAAACAAGTGGCTATCAGGATTCAGTAGCTAATTGGATAACGGATGGTGTTTGAAGCGAATGGTACTGAGTTTGAGTCCCTGAGTGAACATCAACTCGGAGATGCAGGTACATCCAGCTAACGAGTCCCAAACAGGACAAAATGCGCGTCCTGGATTCCACTGCTAGCCACTATCCATTTTTGCCTATAAAACATAATAGTTTATATTTATATTATGTATAACAAAAGGAAGAATGATCATTGAACTGATTACTTGGTGATTGATAACAAATCTCAAACTTTTAATAAATTTTTATCAATTATTTCTCCTTCCTAGACATATTCAGACAATTTCATGAAAATATTATTCACTAGTAGTAATGATGATTTGCTTTGTGATTTTAATAACGGTATTATTTAGTACCATATACTTCGTTACAGTAAAATTGCTCAGCACCGACTGTACACTATTACAAAGATCATCTCTTCAGTGTTTATTTAAATCGTAAGTATTTAAAACATATTTTTAACAGTCAGTATCTGGTAAACTTAATCAGTTACTAAGGTATTTTACTAGTTCATTCAACAGATATACATAAGATGTTTGATTTTCAATAAATTTGTCTTTCATTTATTCATAGGATAGATAAAACCAAAAATATACTAAGAACTGAAGTGTTTTTGTTTATATTTTCCAGTATTTAACATCATAATAACTTTTAAGCCTTTTATAGTAAAGTATGAACACATACAGCTAGCATTCATAAAAATTTGTTTAAAAATATATAACATATAGGTTAACTCCAATATTTATATATTTGGAAATTAGGTTGTGAGATTATCCATCTCTTTTTCAATGTTCGATAAATGTGAGTAATCCAAGATTTTCTGGTAACCGCCGGTCTATTTATTGACTGATTGCTACGTATAAACGTATGATATTCACTGGATATTTCATTCTAAACATGTGAAATTATACACATTTGTCTGCTATGAATACATCAGTATAGAGCATCCCAACAAACCGGATAAAAACATAAATATAATAAGAGAATTTATTTAGACGGATGATTTGTTCAATTCCGAAAAAGATTATCATAAATAGATAGCTAGGTAATTATTGAAAGCTAGATGGTTTATGAAAGTTATTTAATTCTAAATATATTCGCTTCGCGTTACACATTCACAAATTCACAAATAACAATCTAGAAACTTTTAAACTTCTTAACAACCATGATAGTTTATATCATGATCCTATGATCCTCTTTACCTTAACTTCAATCAATAAAGTACTAATCATTCAATACTATTGGTGATAACTATCTCATATCCCATACAGCTTACTTCATTAGTTATAGATTCTTACCAGATGGTCGGACATCTATCTTTAAGTTATTATTATAAACTTGTTTTCTATTGATATCTTCCATAAACATCAAATCTGTACTAAAGAGAATACTTTCAGGCTTTTATTTTATTAACATTAAGTAAACAAACAATAAAATGATTTTCATTCAGGTTTAATACATTTACTCAATGTACGTACATACGTACGAAGTTCTACGTTGTTCTGAATGACTGACTAACTAACTGACTGACATACTTTAATAAGAATAAAACTAGTATATTTACTTCTTATTGTTTTGTAGAAAATATTTTACAATTTTAAAATGAGTAAAGATACTACTTATTTATTGAGAATAATTATTCGTTTGTATAGACTCAAAAAAGAAAATGATTTATCCATTTTATACAACTATCATAGGAACACATTAAATCTAATTCATTTTCTAACGTCACTATTCCATTTTAGGATTGATGGTAAATTATGAAGAATGGAATGTATATGACTCTTTAATAATTATAATCATATAAAGTCCATTAGCTTCTAATGATTTTTATGTAGTACAAATGGTATTTCTAATCCAATCATTACATATACTATTGAAATTTATAATAGTTTTTATTATACATAACTAGTTGGTATGTTATTGTAAGTGTTTAGTACAGAATAAATCAAAATCCACTAAGATTTGTACAGTTTATTAAGTTATTAACAATAGTTCCTTTTTAGATGGTATGTAAGGGGATCTCAATCGTTAGATTTATATACCAGTTCCTCAAGTGTCTGAAACGAAATAATTGTGTTTAGAATGCTTAAATAACTCCCACTTGTTAAGATATACAATCAAAACATTATTCAGAAGCTATTTATACTACTAATAATCACTTGTTAACTAGAGACTAGCTCCGATGAGTTCTGTTGAGAAACTATAACCACTAGAGTTCAACTATATCGGGTTTGAGGCAATTGCCTACCAACATTAATGATTATGTTTGAGTAATGTCTCAAATTGAAATCAGACATATTAAGCATTGAGATTAGATGGTGGTTGGAGGTAGTCGACAGGAAACCCTGGACCCGGGTTTCGTGCTAATTGGCACTCGTCAGCAAGGTGTACCTGTCAGTCGCGGCCCGGATAGCTCAGTGGTAACGTATTTGATTGTGAAGCTGCGTGATACGAGATCGAATCCGCCAGGGAGCACCAGTTCCCTAAAGATTACAGGTACACCTTGCTGACTAGTGCCAAGTAGCACGAAACCCGGGTCCAGGATTTCCTGTCGACTACCTCCAATCACCATCTAGTCTCAATATATATAGTGCACGCAGTGTCAAGTCACCTAGACTGGTGGCCACATTGCAACATGGTCGATAGCATTCGATCTGCACTAAATAACGGCTTGACACAAATGACATTGATCACTACCCAGTGACCAATCAATTGTGATATTAAGCATTGGATGATAACGCGGTGATGTAACGACGAGGAGCTTGTCGCAAGTTCTGAAGATCTTATATTCAATCCTCAGTGGGATAGTGGGTATATACGGCTCAGTAGTCCTACAATAGGACGATACAGCTATCTACTTCTTGATTTCAATAGTTTCCCGACTTTCACTTCATGTAAACTATAAACATCAATAAAAGTCAGTAAACATTAGGCTGTTAATAATAAATGACCAATTAGTCAGTACTAAAAACTAATAGTAATTCAGTCAGTAAGTAAGCCATTAAATTTCTAGCACAAAGTTACTACGTTTTACTAAATATTTAATAATGGTAATTGGATACAGAGACTGAACATTCTCAAGTTAGTAAGGTCATAGTTTAAACTTTACATTTACTATTACTACATAAGAACTTTATTATTAATGCTAGTGATTATATGCAAAATGGTATTCATTACGCTTTTTGTCAGTTAAACATCTTGTAGTGAACAAGAACACCAGTGGAGACAGCCAAACGTA